CCGGCTGCCGTACTCGGGCCGGATGCCTGTGGACTCACTGCCCGATTCCGACCCGAGTTAATCAGGTCAGATGCAGCGGTCGTAAGCGAGCCGACGTTGCCGCATCTGAGCCAGAATCGGCCCACAAGAAATGTGCGCTGTGGCCCGGAGCTGGCGCGACTCAGTCTTCATATACCATCATATAAAGCCTTTTGGTATTACATTGGAACATGGTATTACAACCATTTGAGTTGATATAACAGCAAACGCAGGCTATAATGTAAACACAATGTGTAGGCACTGCGTTTAACCTTTGAATAAAATGCAAACAGCATACATATCCTATAACAAAAATAATCAAAAGGACAAAATAAATAATAATAAACGTTTATTGATTGCAGGAAACAAATAATACTAAAAAATAATAAAATATTTTGTAGTGCACAAGAACATCAATATAAAAACAATAAACCTGACCTCATCGTCCACTGCATCACTTCCTCTTTTTTTCACCTTTATTATTAATATCAAATCTATTTGGCCGTTTAAAGAAACTTCTCACACTCAGCTGCTGTGACATTTTTACAACTGTACGCAGCGGTGACAAAGAGGAGACTGAAAGAGTTGAGATATTGCAAATATTTTGATGTATTGACAATTCAGGCATGGGCTGAGACGGTTGACTCCACAACCCAGCAGGTGGGAATGCGAGAAAAACCAGCTCCTGCTACATTTACATCTGAGTCTGCTGAAACTCGACTTCAACCACCCCAACTCACACATATGGTCATTTCAATGTTTGAATGTTCTAAATTAACCAAACTGACTTTAACTATCATGTTTAATATCATTTGAAATGTCTCAGTGCGACTTGTACAATGGTCTCATTCTCACAGAAATAGACATAATCAAAACAATAAATATATAGCTTCAGGCATCTTTTGAACCACTGTGAAGGGTGTGACTTTTCCACAGGCAGCACTAAATGCAAATGCCTTTTGTTATGCACACACCCCTTTCCTTGAGGGGATTCTTGGATTACTAAAGGTAAGGTTTGAGAAATGATCGGCACGATTCTGCTTACCCAGATCAGAGCTTACGCTCCATGTTATGTATATTTTGAAGTCAGGAATGCATCTTTTAATCTTGGATTTATCTTTGATAACTTGATGTCTTTATTTATCGTTTATGAATTGACTGATTGAATTGGCATAATACATTTACCTGACTAATAAATTATGTTTTGAATTATTCAAACCTCGTGTTATTATCACTGATAAATGTTGTTGTCCATAGCACTACAAGCCCCTGTACAGGTTAGTAACGGACTAAAACATGCTATACGATGTTGTTAGAGATCCGACTAACAAATTGGCATTAATTCAAGTATACATAGACTGTAAAAGGCCAACTATTTAGAACAGTGGTCACCAAACTTGTTCCTGAAGGGCCGGTGTCCTGCAGATTTTACCTCCAACCCTAATCAAACACACCTGAACAAGCTAATCAAGCTCTTACTTGGTATACTTAAAACATCCAGGCAGGTGTGTTGAGGCAAGTTGGAACTAAACCCTGCAGGTACACCGGCCCTCCAGGACCAGGATTGGTGACTCCTGATTTAGAACAACAAAACATTGTTGAGACTAATCTAAACGTGGGTATTTAGGCCTTCATCTACAAACTTATAATCCTGTGCGATTATTATTAAAATACTTTGTCTTGATTTAGTAGATAACAGATCTATGGGGACCACATCAAAATCTCCTTAACTGAGTAAGTAGGGTTCTGCCGTTTTAGGAGAGTGGTTAATCGCCTCTGTTTAATGACCAAGACTGACAAGCTTGTATTAAGAGATTGTATACCCGGCCGGTGCAAGACTCGGGATGTTGTAGGAATCTGAGTAAATAAGGTATAATAGGTAATAAGGTATAATAACAAATCAAAAGAATATTCAATCATAATCTAAAATAATGTGAAAGGAAACAAAATAACTTTATCAATGTTTTATAATTGGAGTCAGATAAAACGAGGATAAATATATTAATATTCTAATTCTAAACCACCTCATACTAAAATTGGAGTCAGATATGAGTTAAGTTTAATATGGATCAACATTGTGCACTGGAAAGACCGAATATGCAGTGAACCTTCATCCACCAGTGGACACCGTCATTGGACCAACTGGCTGGACCTTACAAGACAAAACAAGGGCAATCGCCATCAGATGGACAGGAGTGGGAATTACAGTTAGCTACAAATTACAATAGATCACCCTCAGCATAATCCGTCAAAATGACGGATCACCTTCAGATTATTCCATCACTGCTGAAAAAAATCTGTCAATGACGGAAAATATTCAGTTAACGCGACCTGATATATATCAGGTCATTACAATTGTTGCTTATTGATGCAAAATTTAATGCACGTGGTACTGTAGTAAATCATTGCTGTCACGGTCACCAAGAAGAGAACATTAGAGGGCGCTCTACACATTATATACGGAGCAGAGAGAGCTTAACTCTAGAAAATTTAGGTAAACACGTGCAATTTCAAAAAATGCCAGCAAATTAAGATCAGACCTTTATCGGTTCAACAGCAAACATGATGCAAATCCTCACAATGCAAACAAGGTAAGTACATGCGCTACAGATTCTCACAACAAAAACAAACGTCTGCATTTTCTCACAACACATGTAAATAGCACAGAGCACAATGGATAGGCTTCAAGGTAACCCTGAAACGTGACGGACCGGGCTATTTAGGTTATGGTTATCTGGATTTTCAACTTGTGTGGCTAATTGGCTTATTATTCCAGCAAGTTTGATTTTATTGAGCGTAATTAAATTGCATATCAGAAGGCCGCAGTTATCCATTAAAGAGGTGGCTGTTAACCCCCCTATACAACCCACAAACTGACCAAGAGTGCAGATATAATGATGCCCACTCTCGCATTCGGTCAGCGGGCGATTCAGCAGCTGAAATGCCAGTGCCGCTGCCTTGATAAGAGTGGAGGGGAGCTGCTATACCGCCCTAACAAAGTGTTCCTCTAATACATCTGTGTCATCCACGGATACTACTCCAAACAGTAAAGTGTCGCCCACAATTGAGGCAACTTTCTCCTCAAAGGGTGTTAGTTCAGCATCCCCTGTTCCCCCACCTGTTCGGTCCACACTTTACCGGTGCGCCGCTGTTCTCCTCTTAACCTGCACCTTCACATCAGATCATTTCTTTTTTAATTCCCTCACAGTGTGATGTTCAGACCCTACTTTGTTAACTGCATCAGCTAAACTCTCCCACTATACTTATTTTCTTTTGCTGTTAATTCCGGAGGACAAAATTGCAAATAATTCAGTTTTTTTCACGTCTACCTCTGAATCAGGTAAGCTGCATATTTATGTTTCAATGCATTTAATGCTGTGGGCGTCACTGTGGTGCAGTGGGAAGCACGATTGCCTCACAGCAAGAAGGTTGCTCATTTGAACCCCGGCTGGGTCAGTTGGTGTTTCTCTGTGTTCTTTCCGTGTTGGTGTGGGTTTCCTCCGTGTGCTCCGGTTTCCCCCACAGTCCAAACACATGCGCTATAGGGGAATTGATGAACTAAATTGGTCAGTGTATGAGTGAATGCAACAGTGTATGGGTGTTTTAAAGTGTTGGGTAGGGCAACTGCTGAGGAAAACATATGTTGGATAAGTTGGCGGTTCATTACGCTGTGGCGACCCCTAGTTAATAAATGCACTAAGCCTAAAAAAAGATGATGAATGTAATTACTGAGGTAACAAACGCAGCATTTAATATGAATGATGTGTGCACATGCATTATAATTTAGGCTTGTGGGAAGTGGGGTGGGGAGGGGGGTGAAATTGGATCGATTTAGACAGGGGTGCCCCCAACTCAGTGTAAACTCACCCCGATATGATATTGTTGATGATATTAATTTAAATGTATTTATGTAAACTCCCAATATTTCAATAAATAAATCAATAAATAAATAGCAGACATTAATTTATTGTGGATTGATTCATTATTTCCTCCTCCCCGACTGATAGTGACAGCACGGACACACTATCAATACACAACAATTTACAACAACTGAATATTTACCTTCAGGTATGTTAATAGAAGAAGCTGCATTAATAATATTGTGGCTCAAAAGGGAGCATGGATAAAAGATATTATTAGAGTGTGTATAGCGAGCGTGTGTATATAGTAATGCCTTTTGTTCAGTTTGTTCATTTGTTTGTTTTATTAATTAACTCATTAATTTTAGACATGACATATTCAGTATGCTGTACAATAAAAGTATGTGGAAAATAACTGAAAAGTTAAATGAAATATTGATTTTTATTTAGTTTGCTGATGTACTTGCTGAATTTTTTCAAGGAATAAATTGCAATATTAATAATTACTCAAGAGTAATTAATTAAAAGAATTAAAACCTGATTATTTCATTTACCAGAAACAAAAATATAACATTACACTCAGTTCGGTATTTTTTTGTGTGTGAAACCCCAAGATTTGGTGTGGCCTCTCCTGGTTACCCCTAAGAAAATGTTCTGGGGGCGCCACTGGATTAAGGCTAATAATATACAAAAGGGAACGATGTAAACAGGATGTTAAAATAAACAAATAAAACGTCACTGAGAAATAGTCACGGCACAGAGAACAAATCCCAGTATGGTCCATCAAGAGGGAAAACCAGCAACAGTCAAGAATGCATGATTATATGCTGTCATGGCTTTGCAATCAAACATTTGATTATAATGGAAGTCAATTGGGCAAAAACAGCCCCCAACATAACCAAAGGGTAGTCAATTTGCTCAAACGTATTGTTGGGTTTTTGAAAATTCTCAAAGCATTTCCCCAAAATATGTGTTGAAATCAGATTTGTCAGCAACAGTCATTCATTTTACTGAAACACAAAGAAATTTGAGAGACTCAAAATCACCTGAAAGTGGATGAAAACAACACAACAGCAACACAAGTGTTAACAGCATGAGTGTAACATGCAAACGCTCTCAGACCTTTATTCTGTCCATGCAGGCCTCCATCTTCAGCTGCTCCACAGCTTTCCGGGCCTGCGAGATGCTGGCGGTGCTGTTGTTGGCCATGCCGTCCTTCATGATGAGTCCTGCACACACACACACATGAGGAACTGAGCGCTTGTGTGTTTTTATAGCTCATGTGACTCATGCAGGTGAAACTTCACTTCCATCACAACCTGCAGAGCCCAGGCAGCACAACACATCATTATCAGCATCATGTGGGAAGAGATCTAAACAGTAAAACTGACTGAACTGCAGCACTGACCAAACATTCACAAGGCCATTTCACCAAGTACGACTGCATGAACATGTTGATCCTGGAACAACATTGCAATCGGCCTATCAGGATTAGGGTTTACAGTTCATGTTAAGTTTAGGCTTACAGTAAGGTTGATGCATGATTGTTATCCAACTATTAGGAATATATATTGGGAATATTTTACAGGTATGGTTGGGTTTAGGGCTAGGGGAATAGGTATGGATTACATTTTCCAACAAAAATGATGTTCCAGGATCAACAATGATGTTAATCCAGAATCACATTGTACTTGCAGGGTTTCTGAATGTCTCACCAAGTAAATTTGAAGAGCCCATATTATGGGTTTTTGAAAATTCCTCTCCATGTAGTGTGTAACACAGCTCTAAGTGAAGTGAAGTATCCAGCTAAGGCTTAAATCTGTTAGTGTACAGTGTTTAAAACGGTTGATTCATCTATAAAAGAGTCGACTCATAGTGCTTCAAACGAGTCGCCTTGATACCGATTCATTTGGTGTTTCGCCATGACGTACGAACGCAACCAAGTTATTCACGTGCACGCGCAAACCCGGGAGATTTCAAACCTGAGGCCCCGCCCTCTGACGCAGAAACCCAGACACACACACACACACACACCCACAAACACACGCACACAAACATGCCAGTCGATTGAAGTCACACTGCAGATGGACATTATCGATTCTCTACCCAGAGATGAAACCCCAGCATTATAACCAAGCAGTTGGAAACTTCTGCAAACTACATGCTACAAAGAATACTTCATCAGCGTTTGTTAAAGTAAGGATCAGTAAAGAGTAACTTACTGATGGACGTCAGGATGGGTTTCTTCCTCCATTTCTCAAGTGTAAGTACGTGCGATTAAAGTTGCCTCGTTGACTCTAGCTTGCAAATGTATTTAGTTGTGATTTGTTACTTGTAACCGAGTGTACTGTATCAGGTTAACTGGCTATATTCTCTTATCGCGTGCAAAGTCACGTTAAAAACGCGACACGTGCTGCTTTGTTTACGGAGCTCTGTGGTAGAGGTCTGCATTCCCGCGGCTGTCCCCGGTGCCAGATTTCTGCGGCGCGGGAATAAATTTCCGAATCAATCGCGGGAGCGGTCGGTAACAGGTTTAATTTGGGACGGGAGCGGGCTTTCTAGCAATATCGTGGATATTGCTATGTGAATGAGACAGAGCTTTGCCTGCTTGTGTGTCTGCTTGGCGCTTGTGTGTATGTGTTAGTGCGCACGCGCGCGTATGAGAGAGAGAGAGAGAGAGAGAGAGAGAGAGAGAGAGAGAGAGAGAGAGAGAGAGAGAGAGAGAGAGAGAGAGAGAGAGAGAGAGAGAGAGAGAGAGAGAGAGAGAGAGAGCAGAAATGAATACTGTTATTCTGAAATAAACAAATATCATTTTCATTCATTTTCTTTTCAGCTTAGTCCCTTTATTAATCTGGGGTCACCACAGCGGATGCCCTTCCAGCTGCAACCCATCACTGGGAAACATCCATATACACTCAATCACACACACACTATGGACATTTTAGCTTACCCAATTCACCTGTATCGCATGTTTTTATGAGCCGGAGGAAACCCACATCAACACGGGGAGAACCTGCAAACTCCACACAGAAACGCCAACTGACCCAGCTAAGACTCAAACCCAGTAAGACATTCTTGCTGTGAGGCAACAGTGCCAAGCACTGGGCCATGGTGTCACCCATCTAGGAAGAAGGAGGAGTAGGGGTGGAAGGGGGGACTCTTCAAAATGAAGATGGCAGTGGAATGAAACCCAGGGTATTTATAGTAGTTTAGGAGTCGTCTGATTGGAGTATAGTGAATTGGATAATGCGGATTCAGCCGCTAGCAATCATAAGCATGTGATCCTCTCGAAATTAGTTTATACATAAACTTCACTTAAATACTGTAGGGGAGCGCAGGGCACAAAGTAACGCAGGGTAAAATGCAATACGGAGTTTTAAGATATGTGTTCAGGGTTGACCATGGCATGCTTCCAAGGTTTTCGCCACAGTGTTGGCAGATGTCTTCCTGCCAATCATTGAAAAAGTTCTGCGTAATTTGGATGTGAAACACAGAGGAAACCATTTCTGCAGCATAAAAGTAATTTTTATTAAAGTCAATGTTTTTTATTTTTAAAAAACCTGTGAAAGTATGAACGTAAAATCTTATATTGTCTTCTATCTATGCCTTCATCACATCACATTCACTTTGTCACCAACAAGTTCTCTCAGAAGATTTCAGTATATACAAAATTCTGCTGCACGGGCTCTGACACACACATCACCACGCCACCATATTACTCCTGTGCTAACACAGTTACACTGGCTTCCTGTTAAATCACTGATTGACTTTAAGACCTTGATTTTAACCTTCAAAGCAGTGCATGGGCTAGAACCTGGTTACATTTGTGACCTGGTGACTCTCGCTAACCCAGCCTGCAGTCGTCGTTCTGCATCGGGACTTACGCTGTATTAGCCACGCTGTAAACTCAAGACCATGGGTGGGAGGGCTTTCTCATACAGTGTTCCTAAGCTGTGGAGTGCACTCCCCATCAGCACTAGGAATGCTTCCTCTCTGGACTGCTTTAGGGACCTTTTTAGACTCATCTTTTTAGCATTACTTTTAGCTTAAGATAATCAATTTGTTAGCTTTTTATTCCACCTCATGGTTCATATTTTCATTGTTTTATTGCATCTTTTCATTGTCGTGCTGTTTTGCTTGCCTTGTATACAGTTAAAGTCAAAATTATTAGCCCCCCTGTTTATTATTTTCTCTAATTTCTGTTTAATGGAGAGCAGATTTTATCAACACATTTCTAATCATAATAGTTTTAATAACTCATCTCTAATAACTGATTTATTTTATCTTTGTCATGATGACAGTAAATAATATTAGCCTAGATATTCTTCAAGACACTTCTATACAGCTTAAAGTGACATTTAAAGGCTTAACTAGGTTAATTAGGTTAACTAGGCAGGTTAGGGTAATTAGGCAAGTTATTGTATAACAGTGGTTTGTTCTGTAGACTATCGAAAAAAATAATAATTCTAAAGGGACTAATAATTTTGAACCAAAAATGTTTTTTAAAAATTGAAAAACTGCTTTTATTCTAGCCGAAATAAAACAAATCAGACTTTCTTCAGAAGAAAAAATATTTTCAGACATACTGTGAAAATTTCATTCAAAGGGGGGCGAAGAATTCTGACTTCAACTGTAGTTAGTATTTTGCCTTGTAGCACTTTGAGTTTAAGAAAAGCGCATTATAAATAAAATTCATAATAATAATAATAATAACAATTATTATTATGATTCTAGGCTAAAAGATGGACCAATTTTGAAAGATGTAAAACACACACAGTGACTGCAAGCCAGTGTTGAGAAAAACCCACCACAGCGGGGTTATTTGTAATAGGTTGATGCAAATAAGCCACGCACTGTTGGATGCCAATTAAACCAATAAATAATTGTTGAATTTTGAGTGCAATGTTCAAAACTTTTTAAATAAAATGTTTTTTTAATAGTAAATATTTTTTAATATACAATATATATATATATATATATATATATATATATATATATATATTTTTTTTTTTTATTTTTTTTTTTATTGCGAATAACGCAAATAAATGCATTGAATAATAATGGATAAAAATCTAAATAAATCCAAATGTGTTTATTCAATAAATGAATAAATAAATAAATAAACATACTGTGCTATGTAGAATAAAAAATAAATTGAGTTAGGTAGTGAGGAAATATAACTGCTATATTAAGTAAACTGGATTTAAAGTAACTGTGTGAAATCTGCCTTTTTAAGCATGTGTTACAATTAACCCTCTGTTACAAATTGCCCTGCACCTTATTCTCCGCGGACGAGCGGGCCACAGCCATTTGAATTATTTTGGCTCAAGACTTCTGGTCTCATTCACTTCCATTCATTTTTAGATGTTAAAAACAGCTTGTTCTTCTGCTTGATGTTGCAAACGGATATTTTCTTCTTATATTATTCTAGCTTGTCTGTATAGTCATGCAAACACATGTTTGTAGAGCAAGTACTCTGTACTCTGTAGTTGTTTACACCTAGTTATTTCCCCCATAGGCAGCTGAATAGGAAGGACTATGGACTAAACCATTGCAAAAATGAGCACACTTTCGCATTAAGGAATAAGTTCAATAAGCGAACTAAGCGGCTGCTTAGGGCCCCGCCATCACTAAGGGGCCCCCACAACGCACTAGTGGTACGAGCTGTTTTCTTGCTGAAATCGTTTTTATTTGCATTTTACAAATTACTTTTATTGACAGTGCTTTAGTGATGAAATATTTATACATTTTCACTAAAAAGAAAAAAATTACAATTTTATTAAAGTTGAAAATGTTTTCATGTGAAGGTCATGTGATCAACAGGAAGCTTGCAGCATCTCCTTTCTCTTATGCGTTTTGTGTTCTCGCGGTTCAAGTTAGTTCTTCCAAGGTAACCAGAAAGACCGACTGGTCTACACAAGAAGGCGAGCCCTGGCACAAACACATCCATGGCCTTTGCTTCATTGCCTACCCTGTAACATACCCTTTCACTGACATATTTTGCAGACTGGTAAGATTTTTCCTAGAGATGTTTATAAAAGTGATGTCCTAATTGAATTAATCATAGTAATATGAGCTCTGGATCCTGCATCTCAAATGTAAGGAACAGGGAAGGAGACTGAAGAGAATAATATTGTGTTTGGGTATCAACATTAACCCAGTATTTGTTGCTTCCCTTTTTCTTATATGTTATTTATTTTAATAGTTTTTATACACTCTAAAAAACTTT